CATATGAGATCAAAGTTTAGAAGTTATCACCTTACAATAAACTGTTAGGTGTATAAGATGTTTTATGTGAGCCTCATGGAAACAACAAAGTGAAAATCTGCAGTAGATACAATAGATGAAGAGATGGGAATCAAAGCATTGCATTACACAAAATCATCAAAACAAAGGAAAGGCAGCAACAGAGAGAAAGGAACTACAAATAAACCAGAACACAATAAGATGGCACTAATAAGTCCATACCTATTAGTAATTGCCCTCGATATACATTGATTAAATTCTCCACTTAAAAGACAGAGTGGCTGGATGTAGAAAAAACAAGACCAAATTATATGCTGCCTATAAGAGAATCATTGCAGCTTTTAAGGACACACATAACTCAAATTGAAGGGATGGAAAAAGCTGTTCCATGAAAGTGGAAACCGAAAGAGAGCAGAAGTAGCTATACTTATATCAAACATCTAGATTCTAAGCCAAAAGCTGTAACAAGAGACAAAGAAGGTCATTGTATGATAAAGGCATTAATTCATCAAGAAGATATAGCAATCATAAATATATATGCACCCAAAATGAAAGCACCTAACTATATTAAGTAAATACCAACAGATCTGAAGGGAGAAATAGACAACAATGCTGTGATAGTTGGGGGCAGGGGTTGATATCCCACTTGCAGCAATGGATAGACAGAAAATTAACAAGAAAATTTTGGATTTGAACTACAGTTTAGACCAAATGGACCTAAAAGACATATACAGAATGCCTATATAATGCCAGCAGAATACACGTTATTCTCAAGCACATGCAGAGCATTCTCCAAGAGAGACCACATTAGGTCACAAAATAAAGATAACAAAGATAAGAGCAGGAATGAATGAAATGGAGACTTAGAAAATCAATAGAAAAAAATAACCAAAAGCAGTTTTTTAAAAAAATATATAAATAAAATTTATAAGCCTTTAGGTAGACTAGCTAAGAAAAAAAGAGAAAGGACTTCAAAATAAGAAATGAAAGAAGAGACATTACAACTGATCATACAGAAATACATAGGATCATAAGAGACTACTATGAACAATAATACACCCAACAAACTGGATAACCTAGAAGAATGAAAAAGCCCTAGAAACATATCACCTACTGTCATACTATATGTTGGCAAATCGAACTCCAATAAAAAAATATACAAAAAAATAAAACAAACCCCCAATCACTCACAGCATAGGGGTGGTGAGAGTTCTGAACTCAAAAAAAAAAAAAAAAAGAAAGAAAGAAAAGGACTGGATCATGAAGGAATTGAAACTGAATAAACCAATCATGAGTAAGGAAATTGAATCAGTAGTCAAAAATGTCCCAACAAAGACAACCCAGGACTGGATGAATTATACCAAATATTTAAAAAGAATGAATGAATGAATCCTTCTCATACTCTTCCAAAATATGGAAGAGGAGGGAACACTTCCAAATTCATTTTACAGGACCAAGAATTGCCCTGATACCAAAGCCACCAAAGGACACTACAATAAATAGAAAACTACAGGAAAATATTGCTGATGAATATAAGTGAAATTTTTTTTCTTAAGATTTTATTTATTTATCCATGAGACACACAGAGAGAGAGGCAGAGACATAGGCAACGGGAGAAGCAGGCTCCATGCAGGGAGCCCGACGTGGGACTCGATCCCAGGACTCCAGGACCATGCCCTGGGCTGCAGGCAGGCACTAAACCGCTGAGCCACCGGGACTGCCCTAAGTGCAAAAATTTTAACAGAATACTAGCAAATCAGATTCTTCAGTACGTCAGAAGATCATACTTTAGGATTGAATGAGATCAATATTTGACAAGCATTGGAATGTTTAATTCTGGCTTTTGCGACATTGTGGCTAGAGCTAGAGGGTATTATGCTAAGTGTGATAGGTCAGAGAAAGAAAAATAGTGTATGATTTTATATATGGAATCTAAAAGTAATCTAACTCACAGAAACAGAATAGTGGTTGCAGGAGGTTGGGAAAATGGGAAGCTATCAGTCAAAGGGCACAAACTTCCAGTTATAAGATGAATATAAGTTCTGGGGATTGGTGTACAATGTGGTGACTATAGTTAACAATATTGTACAATATACTTGAAAGTTGTTGAGAGAGTAGATTTGAAATGCTTTCACCCCCAAAAGAAATAAGTATACATGATTATGGAGATGTTAATTAACCTTACTGTAGTAATCATTTTACAATATAAAAATATCAAGTTATTACATTATATATCTTAAACTTACACAATGTTATAGGTCAGTTATGTCTCAATAAAGCTGGAAGACAATAAAATAAACTAATGATATTTTTTAAAGAATCAGGCAGGGGCACCTGGGTGGCGCAGTCATTTGGCCATCCACCTCTTGGTTTCACCTCAGGTCATGATCTCGGGGTCATGGAATTGAGCCCCTAGTCAGGCTCTACGCTCAATGCGGAGTCTGCTTGGGATTCTTTTTCCCTCTCCCTCTGTCTCTCTCTCTGTCTCCCTCAAATTTAAGTAAATCTTAAAAAAAATCAGGCATTGAATTAAGTTGACATATCTCTTTAGTCTCCTTTAGTTATTAGGAGTGATGATCATTATTGTTACTCCTGATTCCACCCCTCTTTCCCCACCCCAGACCCATCTCTTCTTACTGTTGTAGATTATATTAGTGCCCTACTACTCGTGTAACAAGTTACCATACACTCAGAAGCTTGAAAGAAAACAAATTTATTCCCTAATACATAGTACTGGGAATCATAAGTCTGAAATCGATTTCACTTGGCCAAAGTCAAGGTGTTGATGGAGCTGTTTCCTTATGGAGGTTCCATTTCCTTGCCTTTTTCAGCTTCTATGGCCTCCCTTGTTCATTGGCTTGTTGCTTCTTCCTCCATTGTCAAAGTACATCACTCCAGTCTCCACTACTGTCATCATATGGGCTTTTTATTTTTTTTAATCATATAGGCTTTATTGCTTTTATTGGTAGTCAAATCTCCCTCTGCCTTCCTCTTATAAGCACACTTGTGATTACATTTAGGGCCCACCCGGATAATCTAGCATAATGTCCCCATCTTAAGATCCTTAGTCATATCTGCAGTACCCCTTTTGCCACATAACATAACACAGGTTCTGGTGATTAGGGCATGACACATCGTGAGAGGTATTACGGGGACCTCTTTATCAAACACAGGGACACAGTGTTCAATAAAGGTCTCTGACTCAGTCTATATACTTTGACCTAGAAGGTGGTGTCCCATCCTCAAAGGATATTATCTGTGAACAGGTATTTTAGTTACATCCCCAGCTCTTCCTTTTCCAGTTGTTCTACCTATTACCTTAGTGAAGAATCTTAAACTATCTTTGTGAATTTGTCTATTTCTCTTTTTAACTTTGTTGGTTTTTTCTCCATGTTTTTCAAAGCTGTTATTAGGCACAGTCACATATATAATTGTCACTTTATACTTTATAATGCTTAATATTTTATAATGTCACATATATAATTGATGCATGATTCCTTTTATCTTCATGGAATATTTCAGGTTCTCAAAAAATATTTTTTGAGTTAACTTAAATAACAAAATGCAGCTAATTATCAAGTTCAACATAAATATGAAGTAAAGTAATACATCTTGATGTTTTGGGAAGGAAAGACACTAACCAGAGTTCCAGCCTTTGGAGAAACTTTCAGAATACTTTCTGAGTTTTTTAGACTCCTATTTTTCTTTTGTTTTGTTTTTGTTTTTAGGAAAAAAAAAAGAGCAAAGTTTATTGAAATTTCAAGCTACATTTGAAAAATCCAAATCCAATTCCTGGAGACACATATCAGGCTAAGGTGTCAGAAAGTGGAAAGCAATCACTGCCACAGAGCCCTCTAGAGACAGGCTCCCTGAGCACATTACCCAGGCACCGCCGGGTCAAAGCCATCCCCTTGTCCATCAGGGTACACCAGCAAGCCAATCATTCTGTTCACTTGAAAGTTTTCCACCAACATGAAAACAAAAACTTTTGAATGACAATGTGCAGTCCCAGCTGATCTTCTCTCAACCCCATTCTATGTAGTCAGCACCAGTGAGCGGTTGGTCTGGCATTCCAAAGGGGACCTCACACGTCTTCAGGGGACAGATGGGGCAAAGGCTGCAGCAGCAAGGCATCCGTAGCCACAGTTAGAGGCTGGCCTCCTCCCTGCGTTTACTCTTTTGTCTTACTTAACAGAAAGGACAAACCGGATCAACTTGGTTAATGAACACAGTGGAAGAATTAGCTGCAAGAGATAAGAGACCGGTTGATACACCCAAAGCCTGTTAGGCCCCTCAACACAGATGTGTGTGTGTGTATGGATACATCACTACCCTAAGTTACAGATCTAGCCCTATGGGCTTATATACGTGCGTGTGGCTGTAGAGAAAATCTCTGCCGGTACTAACCAAACAGGACTTTGTAAGCAGTCATCCCAAAGCTGTAATCCCACACTGGGCTGTGCGTAAAGCCATGCATTAGACCGTATTAACCAACAGAAGGTTGACTTGGCTCCATCTTTTCTATCCATGGCCCTGCCTTGGCCATGCAGGGGAGGGGAGAGAGGTTGCCTCCGCTTGAACCACAAGCACCTTCCTCATAGGAATAGTGGTTGTCAGGCGAAGCTGCTGAAGGTGTCCATGGAAATGAAAACCAGACCCCTTACAGTTTCTGGAGTAAACTGGCATCACATCTCACACTACCTTTCCTCCTTGCCAGTTGCAGCTAAGTTGCCCAGGCCCTGGCAGCCACCAGGGCACAGCCTCCAGAGACCTGCCCTTTGTCAGGGGTCTTTCATGGATGTGGGCCCAGGTGGCCACATCCTGGGGGCATCTCTTGGCATCAGCTATGCTACGTGTAAAGGTCTCCACGTGAGATGATACCTGGGGAACCCAAAACCTGGAAAGAACTAGGTAGACCAAGTTTAGTGGCTCTGCTCCCCTCACCCCACTTACACCGTAAAACTACCAGGGGCCTCAGGCACTCATGGGCTTTTAGGAACTGGCTCTTCAAGGCTCAGATGGGCCTGGAACTTCTCCAGCTGCTCCAGACTCGCCAGGGTCTTCAAGAGGCTGTTTCCTACCAGCTCTCCCATCTGCTCTTTCAGCATCTCCACCTCCTCTCCGACTGCATACATCAGATGACTCTTCACCAGATCCATGGCTTGAACTTGTTGTCAGTGGCCCCAGAGGCCCGAGATCCCACACTAGCTAGGAATTCCTTCTCGGCTCCTGCTCCCCAACAGAGCACAGCTGGTGGCCAGCCCCCTGCCTGGCCCTACCACCCCTCTGCCTCCAGTTGCCTCTCTAATCTCTATTTTCTTATTGTAAATATACCAGTGCTTGCTATTTGAAAGTAGGAACTCTGAAGAAAGCCACTATTTATAGCACAAAGAATGGACCATAGCAAATGAAACATCCAGCAAAATTCTGTGTCTTTAGGATAAGCACAAATAGAGTTCTTGATGTTAACACTGTAGTTGATGTTGCCAGGCTCTTCCTCCGAGCTTCCTGGAGACACTGGTAATTGTGGGCTGCAGTTTGGGTGGCCCCCACTAGAGGGCAATCATATCCCCTGAAGTTCAGTTTTCTTTTTGGTAGGATATTAAAAAGGTATGGTTACAGAGATAACAAATTAATCTGCGGAAATAATTGAGTAGACCAAAAATTTTAGTTCAGGATGGAACAACAGGAGTCTTAGGCATCCTGAGGATATCCTACCTCTCATGCATATGCTAGAAACCTGGTTTTTTAATTCACTGAACTTCCTACCTCAGAAGTGACAAATCCAAGATATCTTTCATTCATTACTGGCAAGATGTGTCAAAACTAATCTTAGCTTTATAATCCTTGTTAAAATTCAGCTGCAGGATAAAGGTTAACCTGCTCAGGCTTATATCCACGTTACCTTAAGTATTGCTCACGGAGCATCTCCTTGTGCTAATCTAGGCAAAGCGGTAGTAGCGCTAATTTTGCCCTTTGCAGTTGAACTATTCCACCAAAGATTCCGTGTTCCCTTCTTAAATTCAAACTGAACTTCTCATGCTTCTCAAGCCTATTACAGCCCCTCTCTCCCACTGATTACCACTAAAAAAAAAAAAAGTCTGTACTGAATATAAAAAGCAACTACCCGAGGACTTTGAAAAGTATGATAACTGGGCTGTCTGGAGAGGGAATTCAAAATGTGGAGCACAAGCTCCATGGGGTGTTTCCTGTTTTTGTGGGTTTTTTTCTTTGTTTTGTTTTTTGATAGTTTGCTGTTTTCCTCTTTGATCTCCTGGCTTTGTCCCAAGTCCTAGAAATCCTCAGAGAGAAAACTCCTAGAAAAGTCTCTTGGTGGCCAGAGGACAAAGGGAAAGATTCACCTGTGAACTGAGGAATGGAGTAGGATCTTCCTTCCCCCCTCCCTTTACCCTCCCCTCCCTTCTTCTTGCCTTTTTCTGTTTCTCTCTTCCTTTTTGCCATGATTAGGTTCAGAGAAAGGTTTCTTTCCAAAGAGGCATCTTGACGGGATTCGAGGGGAGTTGTAGAGCCTTTCCCCTATGTCTGTGGTGGTGCTGACATGGCTCTATGCATTTGTCAAAACTCACACGCCAAAAGGTGAATCTTGCTCTATGCAAATTAGAAGAAAGCTAAAAACCTGAACTGGCCCTAGATGGGCCGTGTGCTGTTTTGTGTATACCAGGAGATTTTAAATTGGAGAGTCGTCTGTTCAAATACTAATTCCGCTACTTACCAATTTGTGTACCTGATTACATGCGAATGTGTATAATAAATTATTGAAATGGAAGTCAATTGAAAATCTATATTCATATGTAAAATAGTTGTTAGCAATCCTGGCAGCTCCTTCTTTCGAACTGAATAGAAGAATGTGAAGTCACAAATTTTTTCCTCAACCATGACTTTCTCTTTTTTTTTTCTTTTTTTTAACCATGACTTTCTCAATCAGACTTGGCCAAACCTGCTAGCTTCCATGTCTGCCAATTATACAATACTGGCAGGATATGGGTTTTCAGACCTTCTTTAGCCTAGTAGAGAAAAGACTAATGGACCTCTTAGACTCTTGTTCCTTCTTTATCTCTGAGTGGCTATTTCAGTTTGAATTTGCATGGGAAAAGCTCCCATTACAAAGCTAATAAGTACATTTAATATTAATATGTGACATATATGTAAGTCTGGGTCAGTGAGATGAAAGGTAAAATAAAGCTGCATGAACAATGTAAAACAACATGGCACTTGGGCATCCTAATAATCATGTTACTAGTTAATATGATATAATATAAATAATACATTAGAGCAAACCAGACATTTAACTGATAACTTCCCCATACACACAGGTGGTTGGAGTTAGAAGGGATTTTAGTGAATACTGTCTCAGTGTTTAAATAATCCTAAAGAGGTCCCGGTTATGTTTGCTTTGAATTTGTTTTTATTTGCTTTCCAGTGAGAAATAGAATCTTTTTTGAGGCAAAACCTTCAACCTTGAGGGGGAAAATTATAGGGTATTAACAAAACCCAGGTTTTTGCTGTATTAGTGTAATTAATTGAGAAATGCTTAGGGTTTTGGTACATTGATGTATTCAAACATTTTTGACAGTTCTGTACTGAATAAAAATAAATTATATCAAGATTGTAAAACTCAAAGACATATGAAACCGTTTTGGATTCAGACACAGGACAGCCTTCGGTTATGGCTTCTTCCTACGTTGCCCTCTAGACTTGACCACAAATGAGGACACTTTGTACAATAGTATCTTTTCCTTGAATAAGGACTACTCTCCTCTTTGTAAATAATTACTATACTGAGAACTTCCAGCACAAAAGAGAGAGCAATGCTGTATTGTTTTGATCCAAAATAATGTCTATTAACTTTCTCTGATTCAGTGATTATAGAATGATGTATTTTCTATGAAATGACACGTTCTTTAAGGAATGTACTTGTGACTAAGAATAGAGGCCAGAGGGGAATGACAGCCCAATTTACATCCTCCATAGTGTTTTGTAATGCTGAATTTGAGTTCCCACTGTAAGACAGTGATCTTGCATCTTCTTCATTCTGCCCAGGAAAATATCCTGTTGAGGCACTTGAGGTAATTTCATGATTTTGAAATTGTCTTACAAAAGATAAAGAGCAAATTGAAGGGAATCCCTTCTGAGTTGAATATACTCATGATGAGAATATTTCTCCTGCATGGCCAGGCCTACATGAATCTGATGATAAGATGGTACAGAAATAGCTCAGCCATGGTGATTAGTGACAACAGCTAAGCAATCTAAGCTGACTATGCTATAATACATGTGGATGGCCATCTTTAAGCTAGAGAGTAGAATCATAGACTCCGAGGTTAGAAGGGACCTACAAGGCCATTTCTAATTTGTCCTCCTTTCTAATTCAGAAATCCCTTTTCAAAATGGTTGACACGGTGGCATCCAGCCTTTGTGCCACCCCTTTCGGTGATAAGACAGCTGACTGACTTAATTCTTTGACATCCCATAATAATATTGGAAGAACGTTGACACTAATCAATCTTATAAAGACAGAGCTCAATCCCCAAAACCAAATCCATCAAGAATGCTAGTGAGCATCATTTATACAAATAGTACATGGAAAAGATTAAAGTTTATATGAATTTGGGAATAATAGAAGAGCTTTTCTATAAATTAATATGGTATAACTGAAGATAAAAATTATCTCTGTTGGCTTTTTTTAATGTATTATTTACATTTTATGAGCAGTCTGATCACCAAATGGTTCCGAAGAGGCTATGCCTTGATTTTTCAAATTCTTCCATTTGTGTTTCCAAGATTACTTCATTGATTATTTATAACCAATATTTAATGAGTTCTGCTATGTGCTCCACACTGTGGGAGATGGAGAATACTGTTTGAACATTTATCATCAGTTATTGAAGAACCATATTTTAAAGGACTAATTTAACTCCAAATATAAGTCCACTCAAAGCTAGCTCACATTCAAATTTACAAGTCTGATTATACATGCATATTGTAACGAGCAAACTTGAATGAGGCACATGCATGTAAGGTGATCGGTTTCATACTATGGCATAAGCAAAATGAAATTCTGAAATATTTGAAAATAATGTCTTGATATTTTTGATAATAATGTCTTGATATTTTTTGTGTCCAGTATATCATGATACACATTACAAATTAAGGAGAGTTATTTGAAAAAAATATGAGTGGCTATCTCAGTAGGACCAGAAGACATATAGATATATTGGATACCCCAAGGTGAAAGTGTTGTGTAAGTGACCAAGTCACTCCCCTGATGATGTATCTGTTGAAAAGGGCACAATTTAAAGAGGCAAGAAAAGTTTTAAGTGGTAGTTTAAAACTTTCATGGGAAGAGATTCTATATTAGTTCCCATTGATGCAAACCTACTGGCTTAAAATAACACAAATTTATTATCTTACAGTTAAGGAGCTCATAATTTTAAAATGAATCTACAGGGCTGTGTTCCTTCTGGGGGTTTAAGGGGAGAATTAATTTCCTTGCCTTTTCTAGCTACTAGAGGCTGCCCATTCCTTGACTCGTGGCCCTTTCCTCTATATTCAAAGACAGCAGGAGAACATCTTTAAATCTCTCTCTTTCCCTCTCCCTCTCTCTCTCTCTCAACTCCTCCCTCTTCCTCTTTCTCTCTCCTTCCCTCTCCTTCTCTTCCTCCATCTCTCCCTTCACCGCATACACACACACTTCTCTGCTTCTGTCACCCCATCTCCTACTCTGGACTCTAGGAGCCTCTCTCTTAAAAGGAGCCTAGTGATTATGTTGGGCCCACCCACATAATCTAGGTTAATTTCCCCATTTTGAGACCCTGAACCTTAATCACATCTGCAGTCTCTTTTACCATGTAAATTAATATAGTCACAAGTTTTGAGGATTGAGACATAGACATCTTCGGTGGCTATCATTCTGCCACAGTCTCCATTGGCCTCAGATGACCTAAACATAATTGTGTGTTTTTGTTTTGTCTTTTTAAAAAAAACAGTCCACTAAAATAAAGAAAGTTATAAGATATTTTATATGTTTATTTTAGGTCAGACTTTTTTAAGAAGAAAAATGTCCTAAGAATAATTAAATAAATTAGTGACAATTATATCCTTAAGTGTTGATAAGAATAGTCCTACTAGAAAAGTTTAA